CAATAACAATTATAGTTTAGATAACTCATCAGCTAATTCATACTCATCAACATCAGCTGATCTCAAAACATTCAATAAAGTAAACCATGTAAACGGCCGTGTACCCATTTCCTTCCATACTTGAAACACTTTTACCAATCCTTCATTTTTATTCCTCATCTCTTCAAGTTCGGGAGGTGTCAATGCTAATGCAAGTCCTATTTCGTACCACTTTCTTGTTAGGCGAGGAACAACATAAGTTGATAAGCAATCACGTGTTAATTCTATTCGTAAAACAATTACCAATAATACTTAGACACATCATAAATACTACATACCTTTATGGACAAGTGGAGTCCCACCAGTAGGCATATTATCTACACTAACAACAGAATACTGACTATGAGGAACTGGACTAGGTTTAGAAGCTTGAGCTACAACACCTAAACTGGAATATTGACTAGAATTCTCTTGAGAGGGTATGACTCTAGGCTGTACTGGATTACTATTATTATTGTACTGCAATGTGTCGTATACAGTTCCTGATTGTGCATTGAGAGTAGAATAATAGCTTCCATTGCTATCAACATTGTGATCTGTTTGATGTCCATTAGCTGACACACGAGACACTTTATCATACACTCCTCTCTCACTCTTATCCTTAAAGCGACGTACCTCTGTGTAAATAGGTGGGGGAACTACTGCTGGAGGAGTATTAGGAGGAGGATCATCTCTCTCTACACCATTCAATGGAATCTAAAATTTATTATAATCTATACTTTCATTAAAATTAAGTAAGTTTTCTTTACCATATTTGGTCCAGTTGAATAAATGTTACCAGTAGTCACTTCCATTCTTCCTCTTCTCTTTTTAAATCGAACTGTTGCTGCTACCACTACAATTACTATAACAACTACAATGTACATATTAATGACAACATTTGATTATAATGTACATACCAATTATTATAATTAGTAGTGCAATTGATATCCCAGAAGCCAGTCCAATAATTGATGAAGAAGAAGATATGGATGAAGGAGCTGTCAATGAAGGAGTTGGGGATGAAGAAGTTATAGAAGTGACTGATGACAAATTTAAAGATGAAGAAGATGAGGACAAAGGTGAAATTACGTTGGATGAAGATGATACGGATAAGGATAAAGATGTTGGGGATAAAGAAGATAGGAATGAATGAGTTAGAGATAAAGGTTTTGAAACACTCGGGAATGAAACAGTTAAAGTGCCTATGTATACAATAAAGTACATTATAACTACACAAATGAACATATACTGTACCTGTCACTAATGTACTAGTTAATCTAGTGGTAGGAATAGAAGTAGAACTACTGATGGTAGGAGTATCTGTAGTACTGCTTATGATGGAGCTACTTGTAACTTGTTGTACTGTTGAAGTAGTTGATACTGACAAACTAGACAACACTGATAACATAAAAGTAACTGATGATGTAGATTTAGTTGATGAAGTGTTTAATGAAGCAGTTAGAACAGTTGAATTAGTTGTAAATGTTAAAATTGTTGAATTTGTTGATAAAGTAGTTGCTACTGGTGAAGTAGATATTATCACTGGTACAGACATCACTGATGAAGTAGTCAATACTGTTGATGTGAGTGATACTGATGATGAATGAACTGATGACATTAGAAATGAAGATGTAAAGTCATTAGTAATATTAATACCATGAGTTTTTACAGCAAGAGGATTAGTAATACAGTCATCAAGATTCACCATATAACTACATACAGTCAGTTTTAAGTTGTTACCAGCTGGTATGTCATTGATACAATGAATAAAGTTCAATGAATCATTAGGAAATGTAGTGTCAGCCCAATGAATCAAACCTTGATTATCAATAATCAGAATACTATAAATATTAGGTTTACTGCCATTAACAAACTGAAACTGAACACAAACAGAATTTGATGAAACATTAATCAATGTAAATTGCTGAGTACCTTAAAATAAGTAAATATCATAATGTATTAATTGTGTATTACTTACTGATTGTTATAGTGTTGCTTTGAACTGTAACTCCATTTTGATAGTACAAGGTAGCATTTGTATTCAGTATCTTATTTGATGGAAATTGAACAACAAGTGAAATGTTATTATAAGAACTATTGCTTATGGTTGCATTTGTTGTTGAATAACAGTTATCCTTAGTACATCCTTTCAATGTAATGTTCATTAGTGGTGGTACATTAGTACAAGACTGATGAACCTAAAAAGAATACATAGCCATGTTGTTTTAAGCAGGTAATTACAACACAGTAAACACGCCATGGGATATCATTATTAAGTACAATATAGACTATACATTATAATACATGGTACATTTATTACACATTACCTATAATATATTATAATACTACAGTCTGTCTATCATCATTTAACACTACTATTCACTATTACTATAAAGTTATCATAGCTGGCTATCATTAATCCTATCAGGGAAACTTACAGATACAATGAAATGAAAAGTCCAATTTACATTCCCTCTTTCCTTATCAGTTACATATAACTGTACATCTACTGGATAGAATAATCACTTTAGGCTCTCAATAAGTATAATTACTTACTTGTTAATTGAAATCCAAGAGCTATGTTACTAGTAGATCCATTCCCAGCTTTATTAGTAGTTGTAATGTTAAACAGATATTGTTTATCGGTTGGGTCCATTGGACAGTAAGTGTAGTTAGTGATAGAGTCATTAAGGTACTGTTGATCAGTTCCTACACTGATTATATACTGTACTGTTAGTCCTGGTAGTGTGAATGGAGGATACCAACTGATAAACATACAACAAGAATCTAACTGATATCCTGTTAAACTACTGACACTATCAGGTGGACCTGGGTATGAAAAAATTTACATTATCATTGCCAATCAGGTAATTGTGCTTCAAATAACTTAATGTTTTATACTGACCTTGTACATATAGATATGCTGGTTTAGTGGTAGCTCCATTATTGTGTACTTTACAGGTAACTTCTGTACCATTTACTTCACTTGTTGCTGTTAAGATGAGTGATGCCATTCCACTAGAGGATAATACTGAACCATCAACTGATGGATGAGTCACAAAAAAGAGGCCAAATTGAGTCACATTAATAGCACATTCAAATGTCACATTATCATTGACATATACATATTGTGTCACTGGTACAATAGTGAAGGAG